CCCTGAGCGAGCAGCAAGCCACGACCAGGAAGCTGGAGACCCACGAGTTACCCAACAGCTGCTGGAATTGCAAGCAGAAATTCAGCGCGGATGACTCGGCAGCATCCGTGACTGCTGAGAATGGCAGTAACACACTCACGGCCACCAGAATCAAGCCCAACTCGGAACCCGGCTACGATAAGAGGAACAGTGTTTGCAGCACAGCGACTGAGTGCGAGGAAGTCGATTTGCCTCCGGATGCCGCGTGGGAAATGCTGGAAAGGGAAACGCTGTTGGATGGCGATGATTCTGGCGGAAACATTCTGCAGAAAGCCGATCCGTTGCAGGTCACGACCGTCACCTCCAATGCTGCTCGTCGGATGAAAAAAGAAGGAACCTTCAATGAAAGACGTGATTCTCACACTACAGCGGATTTCATGGGCAACTTTCCAGGTGCGCATGACTGAATCAGAGCAGAGCTGATTCCCGCTTGTGTTGTGTCTAGTCACTTGGTCGCAGTGATGCCTATCTACTAGCAGTGACATCTATGCGAGCTAAAACGAAAGGAAAAAACAAATGCATAGCAGTGGGACCCTAGCTGACATTTGGACAATATCTCAAAATACAGAAACGTTTCCATCATTTCCATAAAAATTGAAGAAATTTTTTTAAATTGGAATACCTCTAAAGAACGACAAATTGAGCTGCATTGTGTTTATTTTTAACAAAAGTTTCAAAATTTTCAATTATAAAATCACTCTAAATTTTAAGCAGTAACAGACCGATTTTAGGCTCTTTTTCAGAATATTTCTTAGTATTATGTACACATTCGTAGAGCTAGGCTTGTTTTTGTTCTTTGCCTCTTGAACTCCTTCAGATGCCACAAGAACTGGTTCTGTGAGGTTCATCTTCAAGAAACGCTGATTTTCTGCATCTTAAAGTTGAAAAGCATTGTATTCCAATTTTCGATGGACTTTATTCCAAATGCTCCATGAACCGGAGAACCAGTTAATGTCTTTTCATTGATGTTTATGGGAAACTGTGATCTGACATCCTGAAGCTCTGACAGAGGACAAAAATCCCATCACGATTTTTATATTTCTGCATTTTGGGTCCCACTTCATTATGGTGACGTTTGATGAATTTCTTTCTGTATTAGGCCGTCCCTTTAAACTCCTGGTATTCAAATTTTAGTACCATAACGTTGTCAGATGCATATTTTCAAGTGCACACTTGAATTCAAGCAAACTTTCTAATGTACACGTGTTTTAAAACTATCGGAACCACTGATTTTTCAAGGCAATAGACAGTGCTATAGAAACTTGCTTAAATCAAGAATAATACAAGCAATACGAGAAAAAATCCCTGAGAAATTCAGAAATCTTGATTATTTATTCGAATAAAACCGTTTGAAAGTGTAGAAGGAGTGTTTATCTTGTGGTCTTCAATCCCTAATGATGGCTCGTGATTATCGTGAATCGTTTCAGAGAGACCATTAATTAATTTTCGTTTTTGCGAAGAATGTCAACTACAGTACAGTATTTTCATATGATACCACGTCCTGCTTCTATAGAAATAAGTTTTTATTTGCTTTTCAAACTCAATTTAAAATTATTATGATTAATTTCGAACCTCTGGTGTATCATGCTTGTATCTATTCGTACCTCAATGAGTTATTCCCCATTCTTCCGAATAAGTCCTGTCTCGCAGTATCCAAACGGAATCCTGAAATTTGTATCAAATATTTTGCACTAATACAGTATAACGAAGAGCTGACTAGTCCTTCGGTACATTCAATTATTGTGCATCCCATTTCTATATGAAGCTGATGCGGACGGAGTCGAAGAAACCGTGCTGACTGATGAAGACGACGACCTGCTCACACAAGTCAGCGACGAGGACACGGAATTCGAAGAGGCCGAAGCCATCCGAGACGGCAAACACAACTTCGCAATCAAGAAGAAATCCCGAAAAAGGCGGAATTCGGATGATGAAGAAGAAGACGACGACGACGAAGAAGAAGAAAACACGTGGTCTTCGGATGTTTCCGTAACCGGGAGCACTTGGGCAGAGGAACAAGACGCCAACACCAGCGAACAGCCGCTGCGGAAGGCGGTGGACAAGTGGACCAGCACCCTGTATTGCATTGCTGTGGTGGAACGCTGGCGTCGACCTCTGCTGCTTGCCCAGAGAAACAAGCTGAAGAACATCAATATTGATGATGAGAACGAAAATGAAGCTGGTAACTATGTACATTTTTTGGAGGACCACTCACACAATTTTTTCATAAAATGAAGTATGCAGCCCACGTCATTATCCGGGACAAATTTCCTCAGGCATATTTGTTCTAATCTTCCAACTTTTCTCCACTTGAATTTTTTTCATTCTTTTCTTGAATGATTCTTGGTTTTGCATAAGAGAAAACGTGAACATTGAAGTAGTCTTTCAAGCGGACTTGCAGTTTGAATTTTACCCCATGTACTTTTTAAAATATGAATTTTCAGAACTGAAAACTAAGATGAGCATCTGATGAAGGCATAGATTTTTTTTAAATTTGAGTAAAAAACAGAGCTGCCTGCTGTCTCATTTATTGAGGTTATATGCGGTATTTGAGTGCTTCTCTAAACTTTCTAAAAGATGGGGGGGGGGGGGGGGGGGG